CCTCTGTACCGCCTCTCAGCGGGTGCCACTCAGAGCGTCGCCGGGTGGAAGACAGCTGATCTGCTTAGAAAAGGCAACTCCCCTGCGTAGTCCACGCTTCTGCACCTGCATTTTCATAAGGCGCACGTTTTTATTATCACTTGTACACTTTTTAAGCAATAAAATTTATTTCAGTGGGAATATGTATAGTTCTTTTGCTAGAAATGCCACTTGTGGGGTAACAATCAGTAAACGTGTGTTGTCCTTGAGCCTTTACTAATGAACTAACGTGCTCTCTGCTTTATTCTCTGCACGAAAGGGCAGAAGTCCACAAAGGAGCGCAGCAGCCTGAAGGAGGACAGGGAAGCGAGTGCCAAGCAGGGTGAGACTGACGCGGGCCTGGAAGCCCCGAGGCTGATGGGAGAGAGTTAGCAGAGACGGGACACCTAGGAGGGCAGGATGAGTCTGAGGGCTGCAAAGGGGGGCTGCCACTCAGGCTGAGGGAGCCCAGGCAGGGGGGTTCAACTGTCCCCACCTGCTCTGCTCCACCACCCGCTCACCACCCCCATCCCTCACACACACTCAGTGAGTACAGGCAGCTGGCACTGGCCCTCCGGCAAAAACAAAGACACATCCCTGGCAGCTCTTCTCGAAAGACATTAAACTTCACATTGGAGAACCCAAGGCTTTTTAATCAAGGCTCGAGGCCCCACAGTCAAGTTCTCGTCCTGGCGATCAGGTGGCCTCGGCCTAAACACAAGTTCCTTCCTGTTCCCCTCGCCCACCTCGGGTCCGGAGCACCAGGGAGAAGTGTCGCTGGGGGCTGCCACCTGGCCCATGGGCCTTACACGCAAAGCTCTAGATGTGAGCAGACGCAGCAGCTTGAGAAAGGCACAGACCTACAGATGCGAAAATCCTGGTGGGAACAACGATGGGCAGGGAATAGGAGAAAACTCGGCTCAGAGAGATTTCAGAAAGATTTGGTAGAACTAGAAGAGGTTGACTTGCAAAAAGAAATAATCAGAGAACAATCTGAAAAGCAATTCGAGATTTAAAATAGGATCACTAAAACAAAATGTTCTGAAGAATCCTAAGATAAAATAGAGATAATCGCCTGGAGCACAGGATAAAAAGAGAGAAAATGTGGCCCTGACCGGTTTGGCTCAGCGGATAGAGCATTAGCCTGCGGACTCAAGGGTCCCAGGTTCGATTCTGGTCAAGGACATGTACCTTGGTTGCGGGCACATCCCCAGTGGGGAGTGTGCAGGAGGCAGCTGATCAATGTTTCTCGCTCATTGATGTTTCTAACTCTCTATCCCTCTCCCTTCCTCTCTGTAAAAAA